GAGCACAGGAGACGGTAATCACCCTTATTAAAATAATTCAGCTTCTCTCTGACGGGCTGATCTGTGGCTTCAGAAAGGTTTCTGCCAAACATTTCCCTCGAGCGATAGATATTTCTCGTTTTAGTCATTTGGCATTATCAGCCCGTAAACTGACCATCTTTCTGTGTTTGATCAACAGTCTGGTGAACACAAAGTGCACATTCCTGGAAAGCAGCCTCAGGTCCGCTGTGCTGTTGGGTAATGGTTTCCAGCTTCAGTCGTTGGGACTGTGAGAGCCGCTGGATTTCATTCTACTCATATTATTGGAGTTGATTTAATTCTGCAGCATCAGATCAATGCCGTCCACGACCAGATAGGACAAAAAAACTGTGTTTGCTAGTCTGGCACCAAGGACCAGAGATAAAAACCACAGCTGAATTGATCACAGTCCGCACATGCAGGGGGAACGAAGTAGCTCAAGTACAATTTTGAGGTATTCGTATTTAAGAGTGCCACAATTTTAAAGAACTTCTGCTTTTTTCTCCACTACATTTATTTGAAAGACTGACAAGATACTTTACTAGGGATTATTTTCATTAACGTCAGAACGTAGTTGAAAATTCTCATCAGAATTTCCTCAAGACCAAGGTGACGCCTTTGAATTGCTCGATTTGCGATCAGCACTCAACAACCTAAAAATACCCAGTTTACTCTCAAGTAAGACAAAGAAAAGCAGCAAAAATAAACTTGATCTGATTTCAACTTCAATGATTCTTCTAGTCGAGTTCCACCGCAACCAGATATAACTTTAAAAATGCTGCTTAATTGCTATTAAACCAGTAACAATGTTCCATTAATATCTAATAATATTACACCGACACAGATCTTTAACAACCAAAATTAAGGGTTCCTTATCAAAAGTGTTTGTATTATGTTTATGTATTTACATAAAAAACAATCAGTATCAACCAGGATATGATGGAGTATTTTTTAAATGGACTTGTTTTACTTGATTAAAGGATGAAAATATTTCTACATAGAAAACTGAGTGGAGAGAGAGACCAGTATATCAGCAAGTATTGGTTTATTCCAGATTACAGTGAGGATAATAATGCATATTGCAGAAAATAGTGCCTGTTAACAGTCCTTTTCACAAAGGGTGTCCAGCTGACACTATGGTTTACAAAACCCTTGAGCAGTAGCATATCACGGCTGACCAGATGGTGTTTTGTGTAACTGTAAAATTATCTGCTGCCAGCATAACTTTTATTACTAAATCTGAGGGACCTTGGCTTAAATGTGTACAGTTATTTTTTCATTACGTGCATATAAAAATAATCTGTCATGGTGATGGTCTCAGATATCCTGAAACCTCTAGATTTTAAGCCAGTGGTTTCTTAAGGGATCCCTTTTCTATTATTGAGTTTAATATCTTATGGATCTTTCATATTATATTAAATGCATAACAATAACCGTAGAGAACGACTAATAAACCGTACAATTAACCCAAATAGTTAAGTATTATGTATTTTTTTATTTTTAACAATCATACATTATTTATTTCCTCTCATTGTTCAATCAGCTCTTTGGTTGTTCTTAACTATATTTAATCCAAGACGAGGCTGTTTAGTAGAGAGGGAACCCTATTTAGATACAGCTTGTGTTCAGGTCTTTAAAGTTTGTTTGATAAATAATAATCTAAACTTTAAAATTAACAATTCCAGTTAGTTTTCTTTCTTTTAGATTTTTGAAAGCATAGATCACATCATCTGCCTTAATGGATGACTTTGAACGGAGTAGGTAGACACCTAGCTCTACCTGGATTATCAAGTCCTGACATTTCCATCCCATATGTTGCGTAACGGGCTGCTATAATGCATCTTACACAAGATGAGTCAGTGTGATTACTCAGCAGCACCACAATGCATACAGCGCCTGTGAATGTCAATAAGCCAGCCTCAGTTGTCAAGACCCCCATCTCCTCCATCAAAAAGAACTTCCTCCGTCTACAGTGCCCTGACTTTCATAGTCGTCAACAAGCTGAGGTCGTGGCCTGAAAAAAGTTTTCTGCTTGATTGTTTGATACAAGACTTTCTTTTGCATCTGCAGCATCAGCCGCGGGTTTCACACAGAGAGCAGCCAACATTCACATTTCACATTAGTCAGCCGGTTTGGCTTGGCCATCCTGCACATAGTGTGGTGGTGGTGTGTGACTGCAGACTGTCACACAGGCAGCTCATTCTGTCATCCAAGAACCGTGAAGAGGGAGCACTGTGGCTCTGGGAAGAACTTAAAATTCACCTATTATTATTCAACCGAGTGAGTCAGCGTGCAGTCTGTGACACTGGGTCAGAAACATTTTGCAGCCATACAAACATATTTGTCTTGTGTAATAGATTGAGATGAGCTTCAATAAAAAAGGTCCAATTTTAAATTGGAGCTTTCGCTCATCACTTAATGCAGCACTAGATCACATCCAGGATTATTCCCAGAGATGAATTTGGTGTGCTGGTAGTCACATAGGTTGTTGAGTTATGTAGCACTGCAGCTAACCATTGTTTTCATTATTGATCAAATAGTGTGAAATATTAAAAAGTAGTGAAAACAACTTTCCACAGCATGTGTGCAAGTGGCATCTTCAAATTGCTCCAAAACTTGATTTACTATCATATATGACAAAGAAAACACCAAATTCTCACATTTGAAAAGCTGGAAGGATTAATTACTTATTGTTGTTTTTAAAGTACCAGTGTGTAGGATTCAGTGGCATCTGGCATGAAGTTGCAGATTGCAGCTAACTGAATACTGCCACATCTGTATTTGACGACCTGGGAATGAGAAAGGGCTGTGAAGTGTGCAGGAGAAACTACAGTGGTTGTGAAACTTGCAAAAAATGTCAAAGGCCCTATCTAGCCAGCTAGTTATCTATCTGGGCTACTGTAAAAAAGTGGCAGTTTAACATGGCCGCAAAGTTATGTGTGATTGTTATGGATGTTTATCTTGGACATGTATGTGCAGTCACAGCATGTGGGCAGGAGCATCACCATATGCATGACTCTAGCAGACCTTGCACCTTTTCTTTCCTGTGAATTACGAATGAATGGACAGAATTCAGTCAGAGCTTGCAGCACAGTTTGTCGTGTTTCGTGCACTGACTGAGCGAGGAAAGTCACAGGCTTGGCTTCCGTCATGTTGTCATTCACAGGAAGTGATGTTGCTGCTTGTCAATGTGGTGAGCGTGGGGGGGGGGGGGGCAGAAATGGTGCTCTACGTTCTAACTACCTTCTCAGTGAGCTCACAGGCGTCCTGTGGTTTTCATCATTGTGTGTGTCTCCTGCTGCAGAAAGCGTGCAGAAATACTGTGCAAGAGAGTTGCTTGACAGGCTCAGTGTGCTGCTGGAGGAATTTTGTACTTCTCCTAATGTCCACACAGCTGTGGAAACCACTTGCATGCGCTGAATAGAAATGATGCTCATGCTGCTCACGGCAACAGCTGCGGTGGGAAGATAGTGCTGTAACAGGCCAGCAAGTAGTACACCAACTCCCTCACTTACACAAGCCCTTGAATTTACATATCGTCCCACATCATCGCTTGTCAGAATGAGGTCAAAGTCAGAAGGACGTATGCTCCAAACCCTTTTAGTTCTTTGTTGTTTGTTTGCGGCGAGTGTGTTCCTTCTCATCACACCCGGGGCTGGGCTTTGTGACCAGGTAGCGTGTTAGTGCACAGTCTGTGTTTATGTGTCGTGGCTCAGACTGCCCCCCCACCCCCTCCACTCCCCCTCCCCTCCTCCCAGTGTGTGATGGTGGAGTAAGGGATTAGTGTGGATTTGATGGCCTCGCAGCGGTGAGTTCAGAGCCTGTTGGGAGGAACTGATTACACTTTGACGACATAATAGACCTTTTTGATGCTGGCCGTCTTGCTTTTTGTGAGGCGGTGGATCACTTTAGGTGTGTTTCTCTGTTTTGTATAACCGGTGACGACCCAATAACACACTTGTTTCAGCAATTAAAACTGCATGCAGGAGGCAGTGTCGGCTTGTCCTTTAATTTTCTCCCCATGGTCGAGAGATGACTCGAGATGAAAATAGCTGGATTAGAAGTTGATTGCTCTTTTGGCACATCCTCCTAAAACTGTGATATAAACACTGATTTATGTGCCTATATGATGTAACCTATATGTTGGACAGGTATAATGTTGACCATGCCGAAAGAAAATGCTGAAAGAAAATGTGAAAACCACAGAGCTGTGGTAGAGAATATAGATGTAAAACTAACATGGCTTTGTAAGGAGGCAAGTTGACTGGCCGTAGTACTCCAGAAACACAGGCAGTCTCAGAACTATGGCCTCAGTTTACTATTTATTTCTTCTGCGGATGCGTTGCAGCAGGCAAGCCTTCATCCAAACCCTGAGTTCATCAGTGGATCAGGGATTATTTTAGTCTTTTAGATCCTATTAGTTGTCCAGTCAACATGACCCAGAGAGTTTCAAATCATCCATCCTTTTTTTTTTGGAATCTCCACATCAAACCCTGCCGAGGGTGCATGGAGTAAAAAGGAGCGTAATGAAAACAAGAAAACAAGTTATCACGCTGCCTGCTCAGCAAAATTTATTAAGGTGGACTGAATGCGGTATCATAGCAACTGATACAGATTGCTTGAGCAAATATGCCCTTAATTCCGTATATTTGTTTTTAAAGGCTCTCTCACGTATGGAGACAGATGGCTGAGGAAGACACGCTATCTGCCGTCCTAAATGGGTGTTTTTTAGAGGTTTTAAAAGTGTTTGCCGTGCTTTTGGCTGCACACGAGCACCAAGCGTAAGCCAACACAGAAGGCTGTCGGCCATAGTCAGGGACTTTGCCAGTTCTCAGTAAATATTCCCAATATGCTGTTTGTGTACTCTGGCCTGTCTGCCTCTGAGTGCCCTCTATCTACTCACTGACGATCGGTTTTCTGTGTCAATATTGCCCGAGCGCATATAAGCCAGGACTAACATGTTTCTCTTTCTCTCCTTGCAGCGGTGCGTTTTCTGAAGTGGTGATGGCTCGGGAGAAGGCCACAGGAAAGATGGTCGCAATCAAGTGCATCCCGAAAAAAGCACTGAAGGGGAAGGAGACAAGCATCGAAAATGAAATCGCCGTGCTTAGGAAGTAGGTACCGTGTGACTGAGCCGCGGGGGAGTTTGCAGGAGAAGAACACCACTTTAGAAAGGGTCACCACCTCGCCGCATCCTCGGGGAAGCTTCTATGTGTCTCTCTCCAACTCTGAGTAATGACTCAGAGTTGGGATGCCGGTGCCGCTCAGTTTATTTAACAGTCATTGTCAGGCTTAAGTGACTCCCTTGTCGAATCCTATCTATCCACCATTTTGGGTCTTTACAGTGTACACACCAAACCCAACGTATGATAGGATTGCATTGACACCAGGTGACACTCCATCCCCCTCCAGGGCCTGATGGGTAATTCCCCCGAGAGGCTCAGTTATCACTATCAGTCACTCTTGAAGTGAGCAGGCCAGCTGTTGGGTGTAGTTGCCTGGTTACAGTTGCTATCCTTTGACTTCCTCCTTTTTTTTTCTCCCTCTCTCGCTCTCTGTCTGTGTCATGATTTCTCACACATTTTTGTTCCTCTCTTCATACTCCTTGCTTGGCTCTGTTTGTCTAACGGCCCTCAAACTGCAACCTCATTTTTGTTCTGGACTTAGAAAGGAAGTTGTGAAGGTTGTTTAGTCCTTTGAGACTCTCCCCGCCTCCTTCTCTTCCACCCCCAGCTTTTCCTTTTCAGCCACCTGCCCTTGTGAACACACTCTGTCATCTGCATATCTCCTTTCAGAGTTTTTTTATTTTTATTTTTTTATATACTAAAAACCTTGCTGGTTGGTTGCCTGGACACAGACTCCCGGCATCGTGATCCGTCCTATATTATTTTCTTCAGGTGCTCCTGCTGCCGGGGGTTGCCGCTTCATGACTCATTGATTAGTATCCACTAAGAATCCCCCGCTCTCCATCACGCACAAAAGGTTTTCTCCTTTGTGTGAAGCATACACTTTGCCAGGTTGACAAGCGTGAACGTACACATGTGCACAAACACACACACAGTCTAAATACAGGCAAAGTGCTGTCACAGAAAGCAAAAAAAAACAACAACGTTTTGTTGTCAGTTGGCAGGGCATCATTTTAACAAAAGAAAAGGCTAATTGCACCTCATTAGTGGCCTGTGCTGAAATGAACAGAGGCTGACAGCAAGCAAAGTAAACTTTCTGTTTTTCCTCTCCAGGATAAAGCATGAGAATATCGTGGCTCTGGAGGACATCTACGAGAGCTCAAACCACCTGTACCTCATAATGCAGCTGTAAGTACATCAACCCACCACATTGTTTGCTGAGGTCAGCTCTTTGTCTCCCTTTTGACCTGTCATTTTCATAATGTGTTGTGTTTCTTTTTTTGCTTGAATAAGCAGTCTGTAATGTCCTTTGGGTATTTAAGCCCTCAGTCGAATGTCTGAGTGACTGCAGCAATGCTTTAAAGATGAACAAGATGTACAGATGACAGGGTTGAGAAATGTGCTTATCCGAGGGTTAGAAGAGAAGATTGATACCACTCTCACATTTGTCTGTTAAATATAAAGAGTGATTGATAAGTTTAAAGGTTGGAAATGGGGAAACAGCTAGTCTAGCTCTGTCCATAGGTATCGTGTTTGTTTAATCGATACAAAGGCAAAGCGTAAAAACAACAAGCTGAGTGTTTTTTTTTTTTTGCGGCATGTTGCGGACTAATCCAGTTTATTCCTCTCAGGTATTATTGTTATATTCGAGTCACAGAGCTAAGCATCTGTTTTTCAAAAAATAAATACTGTACCTGCTGATCTTTGAAAAACCCAGAAGATTGCTTAATATCATCTATTGCTGTTAACTTGCTTAACTTATTTCCAAGGTTCCTCACAGACTCTTCTAAGCATCTGATGGTACAATTCATTTTTAACTTGCTTCTTATGCAGGTAGCAAGAAAGGGATGCTTGTGCATTTTTAAGACCCAAGGAATATTTCAATATATTAAAAATGTTTTTTTATTAATATTTAAAAATAGAGAATTATAACTGATAATGAGGTTTTAAAGGACCAGAGTGTGTAAGATTTAGTAGCATCTAGCGGTGTAGTTGCAGATTGCAACTCCCTCGCTTCACCCTCCCTTTCCAAGCGTGAAGGAGAAACTACGGTGGCTGCGATAATGTGAAAAACCCGAGCTAGAGTTGGGTTTCTCTGTTCTGTGCTACTGTAGAAATATGACAGTTCAACACGGCGGAAGATGACCCGCTGCGAGTGCAGATGAACACTGCTGTTAAAGCTTGAGCTTCACTTTACACTGAGGCTTTCAGAGCTGTTGATTGAAATTAATGGTAATTTTTCTGTTATTTATGTGGCAAGTTTCTTGTTAAATGTATTTCAGACAGTGTGGAGGTGGACGTGTGGCAACTGTTCCTCTGTGAGATTACCGTTTTCCTGTGTGGGGCATATGTCACCATGATTTCAGAGACCTTTCCCCTCACCACATAATTTCACAGTGTTTGTGACTAATGCACCAGCAATTTTGCCAGCGATTATCTGCTGTCTCAGTGTACCTCCGCAAGGTCCGTAACGCTGGCTTGAAGTCTCACTTATAAAAATGCTGATTGCCGGTCGTCTTTTAAAGCAGGCGCACACTCAAGATTGATGCTCAACTGTATGAGTCACTTGTGTTTTTTTGCCTTTTGCAGTGGTGATTTTAAGAAGCAAATACTGCACAGTTAAATAATGTGACAAAGGGACAAGTCTCAAAAAATCACAAAGACGTGATGAGAGATACGGGAAAAGTGATGTTAGCAGCACTGACTGATTTAACTTCAGCCTCAAAATGACAATTAAATTCAATACCAACCTCCAACAGAGAAAGCAAAGACAAACGCAGGATATGAAGAATGACCATTTACCTTTGGGCTCTTGCACTGAATTGAATGAGATGATATTTATCAATCAGACTTTATTTGTATAGCAATCAAAATGTAACACACAGGTGCTTCACACATTAAAACATCCAACCCCCACACACATAAAGTGACAAGTGTTTATGTGAACAAAACAACACTTAATTAAAACACAGACTGAGGAAACGTGATCTCATCGAGTTGCAGTGAGGAACTTGATCAGATAGTGTCAGATACACATGAAACAGAAACAAACACAAAACAAAACAACAAAAAGGATGTCACAGGTATCATGGTATATAGCGCCTGTTAAAACGGTCTGTAAAAGGTTGTTGAATGTTTGTTGGCTTTCTCAGACTAACTGTAATGTTTTTCTAACTGTAAATGCTTAATCACGTCCTTTCAGCGAGGTTGAGTGGGCTGGTGGGTCTTTCTGCTTCCAGTTCAACAAAATCAGTGTTTGTGCTAACAAAGTTATAAAACGTATTGTATTATATTGGCTGTTTGATGGCTTTATGATAACTGCTTTGACTCCAAACAGACAGAACTGGGTCCTGTTTGAGTCGCTTCTGAATATTTTAGTCCAATAGCTAACGATTCTTGGGCAGCTCCAAAACGTGTGCTAATGAAGCCGGTGCCTGATGGATTGACTGTAGTAAACATTTATATACTTATAATTATATCCTTTACTGGTGTGAGTTTTGCGAAACAAAGTTACAAAGTGCTTCACAGTCAAAATGTTTGATTAACCAGCCTGTGAAGCCAATTTCCACATTTGTGGATAATAATAATTAATAATATTTTATTATGAATATATATATCAATTTTATTCACGGTGTGTTTACATGATCAATCACTTGTAATTAGGTAATACACTCATTATACTTACAATATACCGTTGATGGATGAGTTTTCTGTGTGCTGACAGGGTGTCTGGAGGTGAGCTGTTTGACCGAATCGTAGAGAAAGGCTTCTACACAGAGATGGATGCCAGTCGGCTCATTCGACAGGTTCTGGATGCAGTCAACTATCTGCACTCCATGGGGATAGTGCACAGAGACCTAAAGGTACAACAGCAATGTGTATATTCATATATAGGTCCTCACTACGTTTGTTGTTCAAAGGAACTCTTCAGTCTTACTGAGAGGGGAAATACCCGCTGTTCAACCTGTGGGATGTTTCATGTGCGCTTGGTGAGGATCAGTCACATACGTTAAATGTCAGGGTAAAACTGATTAAGCCTCTTGGATGACCCATAAAACTTCCCCAACTCTTGAATGACAAATCCAGGGAGTTTTGTTTCATATGTTTTAGTTTTTTGGATGAAGTTCATCTACATTCATTCTTCCCTCTTATTTCCAGCCTGAGAACTTGCTGTACTTCAGTCCCCATGATGAATCAAAGATCATGATCAGTGACTTTGGCTTGTCAAAGATGGAGGGAACAGGCGACGTGATGGCCACCGCCTGTGGGACTCCAGGATACGTGGGTGAGGATGCCTTCTGAGCTCTGGCTTTTGTTGGAAACTTCCTATGAGATAATTAGATCCACTAGTTGGCCGAGTTGGTCATGATCTAATCTAGTCTGTCAGTAGCCGCAGGATAACTTTAGCTGTCTGCTACAGGCAAACCACCAAACATTCACATTATTCTGCAGCCTCTGTGTCATGGTTAATGGCCGAAAACTGTTTGCTTTGTTTCACAAGATCAGGGGTCTCAAACCGTCGGCCTGGGGGGGGCATTTCCTGCCCTCCATCGCCCTCCCTCCAGCCTGCAACATGATGTCAAAAATATAATATAATATTCTATTATTCAGCCACTTTTTCCCCCTAGTTGTTTCATCTTTAGTTAAACTACCAGTTCACATATAATTTCGGCCTTCATTTGTTGTTTGTCAGAATATTAATCTTAAAGTACTTGAATGTTTGAGTGGCCCTCCTATTAGAAAACAATAGCATGTGTTGCCCCCCTAGCTAATTTGAGTTTGAGACCTCTGCATGATGAGTGTTCTGACCTTTTTTCTTTAAAAATAAATAATTTCATTGTTTCAGCTCCTGAGGTTTTAGCTCAGAAGCCCTACAGTAAAGCTGTGGACTGCTGGTCTATTGGGGTCATCGCCTATATTCTGTAAGTGCTCACTTTTAATATATAAATATGGTCATTGAAATGTTGTTGCTGGATTTTCATGTATTTTCTCAAACTTTATTTAAACAGGAAGGCCTCATTAATGAGATAAACCACCAGGAAAACCTCACTGAGATTAAAAACCTCTTTATCAAGAGTGTCCTGACCAACAATGAGATCATAGTTAGAGTTTCAGACAAAGCTCCTAAAACAAGTAACAAGATTAGAATTGATGAATAAGAGTCTACAGCCATGCTGTGAGGCTGTATTTAGGATTTAGGTGGAAGCCCTGCTGTGCCTGACACACATGTGCACAATGACAATGCTAACGTGTTGAGCAGTTACAATATGTACCATGTTCACCATCTTACACACTGACTCTAAGCAGGTTTTTACTGTGTAGTGTGCTCACAATCGTCTTAAATTTAAGGAAACGTCTATTTCTGTGTCGGAAGTTTAGCTGGCAAAGTCTCAGATTAACAACAGATGTCACACATTGTGTCATTTCCTTTTAGTATGATACGTTGAAGTATGTGTGATATTTTTGCAAACTAACTTCTTGAACAGTATATTGATGCTCTGGGAACCATTAATGTCTGCACAAAGTGAGGCGCTGACCAACAGACCGACATAGCATAGTAAAATATGTAAAAACAAGTCTCATGTCAATGCTGACATTAGAAAAACAATACAATACAGCACCTTAAACACAACCCAAAAGCTGCTGGAGGGTCTGGATCGTAGTACAAGGGATGCCCACAGCTACTGTTCCTATTTTACAGAGCCAGTAAAGCTTTTAGTGGAAAGCTGCCAAACAAATTAAGCGGTGTCGCTCGTTAGCAAAGAGAAAATCCCGGGTGTTGTTATCCATCCGTTAGGTGTGATGAATTTTAAGATAATTACAACAAAGAGTTTCTTATGCCCTCACAAATGAGACTCCAGCCTGGTGTTTGTTAGGGAATAATGTACATACTAAAACAAAATCTGTAGGATATATATATATATTCTGTAAGAATATATTGGTTGCACATTATTTATTCATGTTCAATATAATAACTTCTTATTTGTTAAACTAACATGACTTTTTCATGTCTTCTTAAAGATCTTTTGTGTTTTGTATTTTTGTACATTTTTGAAAGCAAATATGACAATAAGCAAAATCCGGATTTCTTGCACTATAATAATTTCAGCCAGAGCCGGAATTCAAAACACTGCAATAACAGTGCAGTTTAAACGATGAAAGATGTATATAACTAGAACATATTAAAACACATTGTGCAATTGTTTCACTGCATATTTGTAAGTTAAACAATTCCCCCATCTGCCCCTTTTTCCAGTGCATAATCAAGATCACAACTTAACTATACAGCATCAATTTATGTTTTTTCCATTTTTCCATATCAAATATAAAGGAAATTATTTTTTCCATTTTTCCCCCTCTTAGTATCCATGTAGTCTTTTATAATCCGTCTAAACCGTCTCCTGTTGCATGCTATATGAAAAATGAAACTGCCCCTGAATGAGATTAGGCCACAGCAAATCCTTTTTAGATTTTGGTTAAAGTTTCTAACATCAGCTGGATGACCGCACTCTCGCCGACTGTTGTTGTGTAATCATCCATCTTCATCTTCTCAGGCTTTGCGGTTACCCTCCTTTCTATGATGAGAATGATTCAAAGCTCTTTGAGCAGATTCTGAAGGCAGACTATGAGTTTGATGCTCCGTATTGGGATGACATATCGGACTCCGGTGAGCTATGACTTGTGTGTTTGTGTATACACTGTTATTTTATTTTTATTTTAATGAATGGTAACACTTTATTTTACGGGTCCCATAGTTTTAATTTAATTTTCAATATAGGAACTGAGGTATTGAATCCCATAGACCAGCAAAAAATATATATAAGTATTACCTAAATAATTCACATAGTTGAATAGCGTAAATGTAAAAAGAAAATATAAAGCATTATAGTTTTCCTTTAAACTGCAAAATAGAGAAACATTTTTATTTCCAGTCAATTAATTAGAAAAATTAAAACATTATTTTATTTTACAACTCTATCTCTCACTCCTTCTTATATTTGGAGTCTTAGTCTAAGTTAACTAGCTCACAGACACACCATTGACTGTATGTTTTTGTTAGTCAACAAGAAATACACATTGTTATCAGCTTTACAGGTTAAAGCAAGTAGAGTGTTACATTTCTTTTACATTATTGGTATTAAAAAAGTCTGATAAACTTTTATTTTAACTGTTGTTTAGAGGTAATTCGTCTGGAAATCAACGTACTGTAACATTTCCTGGTTCTTCCTCAAAAGTGGGTTTACCAGTTCTAGGGAATGCAATTATAATCAGCCGAGCCCACACAACATTAACTTGTTCTTCCAGCCATGATTTGTGTGTAAGGTTACATTAAATCACTTGCCAGCGGACAGTCGGCTCACTTTCTAGTTGTCGGACATATGCTGTTGTTGTGATGTTAGCTACAGTAGCAGGAGAGGTGTATTATCGTTCTGGGAAAACATCTCATCTAGAGTCCTGCGCAGGACTGTTTTCTCACTCCTGGTTGATTTCTGACCATTACCGCCCACTCCCACTGTGTGTTTGTGTCTACTCACGCCTGCACAATGGAGATTTTATGTCTTCTCCTGTCCCGCAGATGAAAAGATGTTATTTTACTGGTAACAACTGAGAATTTTCTCCAAATGTCAGACTGTTGTTTTATAAAAACCCGCTTTAATTTTCTTTTCAGCTTAATTTGTTGATTCCTCCTGGTGGGCGCAAGCTAAAGTCCCCAGAGGAAACCCAGCAGTTTATTTTCTCGAACGCCCTCTCCCGCGACATTTGCTCTGGGTCCCACGGGACCCAAATGCAGTCCTCTAGTCTCTCTGCATGTCGTTGCACAGCACCAACTTCAGTGACAGTAACCCACAACACATGTAGTTACCGTTACATAGCTGTGTTGTTGTTCACACTACATCATGGTAGTTGTCATGGTATTGGATTTCTCTAGAATTCCTTCCCCCACTATTAAAAACTAAACTAAAGGAGCTGGTATTTAGTGTGCTGCCTTAGAACATTTTATTTATATTCTCTATAACTACTACCAAATTACTTTGCTATTTCCAGGAACTGTCTTCTTAGGAAAATGTTTAAGAAATGGCAGGACCCGTAAAATAAAGCATCACAAAAAAAGATTAAAGTTCACTTTATTAGTAGTATAGAGTATAGAACATGTTCTTGACCTTTTTAATTCCCTCCACAGCCAAAGACTTCATCAGCTGCCTAATGGAGAAGGACCCAGAGAAGAGATTCACATGTGACCAGGCTCTTGAGCACCCTTGGTGAGTAACTAACCGCCGCCACATTGCACCCCAAACCAGACAATCGCAGGAAACCACAAATCTCGGTGCATTTAAACAGCAGTATGACGCAGATTGCCAGGCTTACGCATTTGTCATGGAGAGCATGTCCTCCCACTGTCATCTGTCGCCATGGCTTCGAGCCGTGAGCCCACCTCTGCTCAGCACCGCCAGCCCTCAGAGAGGAATCTGCTGAATAAATGGCTGCCAATTAGTGGCTGGTGTCCTGAAGGATCCTTGAAGAATGTGGAAGCTTTAATGAACAATTAGGATGTCTTCCCAGGCCTGAGCCGGAGCTAACGAGAGCGAGCTGGCGTGGGCTGCTGTCTCCGGCTGAGGTGGCCAATATGAATAAGTCTGTTAGCCAGTAATGGGCCTTTTGGGTCCTGGGCAGGTGGTCGTTCTGATACAAATATGTGGTTTGTGACACCGGTAACGGGTATCATAACAGAGAGAAATAGCTTTCATTGACAAGGTTTCATACAGAGATATTATGATGAATGTGACAGAGAGTGAAACAGTGTGTGAGCTCCTTTAAAAAAAAAAAAAAACATTAACCCATCAATCAAAGATGTTTTAGCAGAATGAAAATAAATGATCCGAGCTAATAAGAAAACAGCACAAGGACGATTCCCAAGGTATTACAGATACAAATATAAACCATTTGTGTGATGCTGTGTTTGTATGTGTGAATTGTTATTTACATGATCTAAAAGGACTTGACTTTAACTTTTAAGGATTGCTGGAGACACGGCTCTCTGCAAGAACATACATGAGTCAGTCAGTCGACAGATGCGGAAAAACTTTGCCAAAAGCAAATGGAGGGTGAGTGCACAAGACTTGATCTTCCTTTATCAAATATTACTGAAAACACACACATATACAATATTCTCTATCTTATGTTCTCTGTGGATCTGTCTTTACACGTTTACATCCTCTCTCCACAGCAAGCCTTTAATGCGACGGCTGTGATCCGCCACATGAGGCGCCTGCAGCTGGGCACCAGCTTTGGCAGCAGCATTCACAGCACCAACTCCGTGTCCAACCCTCAGAGCCGTGTTCCAGCTAAGAGCCAGTCTGTGGACTGTGCCCCGCTCTCCCTGAAGGACTGTGAGTGACACTTCAGATGCTCTCTGTAGACGCAAACATGTCCAACTTTCAGTGCCGCAGTCAGCTGAGCTCTGTTCATTCTGCTGCTGTCTCCATTCAGCTAATTGGCAGCTGGTTAAAAAGCTCTTGAGGTGTAATTTTCAATTAAACACAGTTTGACACAAACCACGTGGACACGACGTTTCTGGTGCAATTTAATGTAACATAAGAGCTTGTTAAAATGGAGGTCAGTTGCAACACGTACATTTTTACAGTTTACTTCTTACTTTATCAATCATTTAAGTTATTTAGAAAAAAAAATGGTTCCAGCTTTTCAAATGTTTTTCTGCTTTCATTGTACATAAAATAACTGGATCTGAGAAAGTGTTTTAATCAGTTAATAAACTAAACATTTTATGGAACAGCCAGAATACTATTGAGAAGATTAATTTGTAATTAAATAATTATTATTTGCAGTGTTAATAGGTTTATAAGCTTAGTGTTAAAGTGAATTGTATCCTATCAGTGCCTGAAATATGCCAGTACTCCCCAGTACATGAGCACCCTTATTTCTTATTGAATATGGCCACCACTGGCGAGCATGGCTGTACCCACCACTGAGGTCACCATTATTATTTTTATACAATAAATAGTTAGTGAAATAATTGTCTAAAAATAAGCATTTTGATGCTTTGATGCATGCCTCAAAACCCTCCTAGAAAGTTCAGTTATTGTATTTGAATTGCTGAATTAGAGTACTGGCACCTTTTTTCAGTACAATTCAGGTCCTGTTTTCTAGATTGGTGACAGTCGGTGCAATATGCTTTGATTGAAAACAACATATTTTTGATAAAGTCATCTTAACTCCACTTACTTTACTGAGATTTCAAACACATCTGTTTCTTATCAGCAGATAGAATTTGCTCAGTTGTCATGGAAATAGCTTAGTATTATTTCTACTTCACTCTGTGATGTGTCTACTATTTCCAATGATAAGCCTGGTTAATACATGGTTTATTATTGTCAATAAATCCAATGAAAAGACCAAAATCAACGATGAATTGATGCTACAATTTTGTCTCTGTAGCGAAAGCTGGATAAAGGTTATTCGTATGTGTCACAGACCTCCATTGTTGTCTAAAAACTATTAAAAACCCATATATGAGTCACTCTGTTGCACTAAGTGACACGTTTGTTCATGACGATGGACATGAGCACTGTAGTTTATTGAGAGTCAGTTCCACGTGCCACACTGCTGCTATAAACACTCACTAGAGCTTCAAATGAGTGTTAATCCATGGCTTAAAATTGCATTACTTACTTCTGTTTGAGTAACATTTGCTAAAAGCCACAGTGCTCAGTTGTTTCAGGAAATTATTTAGACTTTTTTTGAGACTGAAAGTGTATATTTGGAAGCTGTTTTTAAAAAAAATATTTTCATCTTCAGTAAGAACCAATGGGCTTTGGGGTTGAGCGCCACAGACAGAGAGATGGCCTTAGGGTTTAGTTACACTCTATCATTAGCCATCTGTCATAGAAAAGAGAGAGATGTTATATTGTTTAAATATGGGGATAACAATGCACATATTCAGTCTCCTGAAGACATTCATAGTGTTGCACTTGGTTGAAAAGTGACAAATGAAAGAAGAGAGCAAGAGAGGGAAGTGCAAACCTGGGCTACTTTCTCCTCTCCACACAGCTGACCAATGACTGCTTGAATGTTGGATTGTTAATGTCATAAAGTTACACAAATGGTCAGACCTCCCTAATCATCAGAAAGGTCATGGGAATTGTTGACAATAATTAAAACGTAGAACATTACCAGACTCCTGAACTCGATTAATGAACTCTTAATGAACGCTAAAACTATATTTTCTCCCACAGGTTCTCCAATAGCTCCTTTGCCCCCTGCTGTTAAAGCATACAATCAGGACTCTGACGCCTCCTCTCCGGTACAAGAGGAACCAACGGTGGTGGCCGAGCCATCGCGGCCACGACCCTCCACTGTCACGGTCATCCACACTGGGACTAAATGACGCCAGGTTCCGCGGGAGGTGAGCTGGGAGACCACAGAGCTTTGAGACGGGATAAAACCATCCCAGGCCTCGTGATTCTAAGTCGTCGCCCAGTTTGCCCATCCCGCAACCTCCCATCTGTTTCTGCCAAACCACGGGAGGAATTTGAGGAGCGTTAGCTCAGCTCCATTTACCATGGCTCAGCACGGCACCGCGCTGCTTCCCTCCCCACTGTCATAGAGACCCGGAAGTACAGAGGGGAAGATGATCACCAGAAGTTGTTATTGTGAAAGCCATGTTCAGCCTGGATCATGGTTGTCTGCCAGACAAACAAGCAGCTGGTCTGGGAAGTGCCACACTAAGGGGAACTCTTTATTGAAGCTGCTATCATTTGTGACAGTGAGCATCTTGAGACAAGGATGCTCCGCTGTATGCCTTGTGTAAATATCCTGCCTGGAACTGTTGAGTGAAGTCATGTTATGCAAGTGAAATATAAGCTTCAAGCTGTGGTAAATAATTGTGGCATCATCTGCACTCTGAACTTCTTGTCGTTTTGACAGCTCTTGTTCATTTGCTGTGGTATTTGCTACAATGGCTTGCAGGGTAATAACTCCCAACAGTGTGACAGTGTGTGTTATCTCTTTTGCTTTAAAGTGTGTGGACATGAAATATGAGCAGGACGGTGCACTTCAATCACGGCTGTGATCGCTGAGAGGGCTGACTTTTGTAAGAACCACTTGCAGAAATGTGTAAATTTGTTATTAGACTGGGACTGAAACATTATTGAATTGAATGATAAAGATGCAGTATCTAATAGTTGTTACTTTGTAATTGCTGTTTTATTTGATTAATGAATTTTTGATGTGACTGTGAAGTCCTCCTTGACCACAGGAGGGCAACCACGTGTTGTTGCTGTGTGACCAGTTCTCAGGGATGTGCTCCAATATGAAGCTAACCAAACCCCTCTCAGAGTGATCAGACACTGCTGAGGGTGAAATAGTTGTAAGTAAAACTTCCAAATACTGCATATTATTCTAATGTGCCATTAGGAGACTTTGGCAAATGTTTTCCTTCTTTAAATCCATTATTATTGACTGTATGAGTGTAATGTAACTCGTACCGAATGGATTGTTTCCCCTTTAAAAATGAGTTATATTTGGATTTAAAGAAAGTGTTTATTAGTGAAGTGTGCGTTCATGTCCGCAGTAGTAAAAATGTAAAATGACACATGAATGCAAATGTGTCTCGATTGCTCCCACTGCAGAATCGTCAAATCAGTAGCGTACAGTTCAGTAGTTGTAATATCGTGCTCTGCTTCCGCTCATGCAGTGGCTGGTCTGAAAACAGCTCACTCACTCTATGTTTAATCACTGTGCTTTCATACCAGCCTGTTGAATTTAGCAGAAAGACTCTTTCTCCTTTCTCTCTCCCGCTCGCTCCCTAGAGACCTTCACACAGAGAAAAGAAGGGATCTGGCTTTGTATTTTCTCTGTGGTACCTCTCTGTTTAATTTTCAATCACGCAACCTGAATGGGGCAAAAAAAAAATAACACTCCACCAGAACATGCCTGATATCGAGGCCATCTTGAATTATCTAAACATGTTGTGGTTAATATTGACTTTGAGCCTCTACTTACTGTAAATACAAATCTCAACAACACAGTTAGCTTGGGTCTTGAGTGTTTATTTTGGCCTTCCCTATATTATTTCCCCAAAATACATCAACAGAAAGCAAAGCAAATTAAGCATTTAAAGCCCCACAGTATGCATGTATTACATATTATTACAGAAATGTGCTTTTGGAGTTGTAGAAATTCATGTATTAAAAAAGAGGCTTGTTTGCATGTGTCGTTGCTTCTTTGAAGGAGTAAATATCAGGTTAGTAAAAGTTTGTACACGTTTCTTACAGTAACAAATATCACTGGATACAGATTTTTAAATGTTTATGTTAAAATATTTAACTATGTCATCACAAGTGAGTAAATATATAGCGTATAATATATATGAGTAAATACAGTATATTCACACTATTCTGCGTCTGGTACTGTGTATTCAATTTATTCAACATCTTTTTAACCTTAAATCTCCTCAACAGCTTCAAAAAACATAAAAACATACTTAAAGGGATAGTTCTGGTTTTTTTGAAGTGTGGTGGTATGAGGTACGTCATCATGCCCCTAGTGCCAAGGCTAGGCCCCCTTTTGAGGGAAAGGATGGTGCTTTCACATATGTTAACATGAGAAACTACAGTGAAACTAGAAACAACCATGCTAACAACCAAAGCCTTCACCAGAGCCTCCAGGAGTTTGTGGGCCTTCTTGGGATTGCTGTGACCTAAAATGCCTCATTTCACAGCAGCTTTTCAAAAAAGTGAAAATTGCTAAAATAGTTTGTAGAATTCATTAAAATTCGAAAGGCAAGACTAAAATCACTGATTTGAGGATAAATGTGAGATGTTCACATTGCACATGTCTGCATGGTCTGTATCTTAGAAAGTGAGTTTGGTGACGTGCGGCTCAACGTTTTGGGTTTTTGAAACTACTATGATCATTGTCAAAAAGTTTGCGATGATTGGACAAAATTGTAAGGCTGGGTTCAGTTCACGATTGCAACATTGCAACTTCCTGAAAGGCACTGTTTCACTGTGTGATTTAAGGCACATAAGGTACACAGATTAAAATAAATGTTGCTTGTGACAGTTACAATTTATGGATAGCTAAAGTTAGCTTTGGTTATTAACAGGTTATGTACGGACAGCAATTAGCCTAACGTTACCTGGTGATTTAAACGTGTGTAGATGTTTGGGTAAGCAGTATCTGGCCACTATATTGGGTCACTGATCCACTTTGATGGAGACTGAAAGACAGCTGACAGAACAACCTCATTTATTAAGGTTTTACAACTACTCACATTCAGGTCAGAGAATAATTTATAGATGCGTCTCTAAAACAAAGGCTTGTTTAATATGAAATGAATGTATAAAATAAGGAAGGGAAAGGAAAGGGTTGTCTGATCAAGGTAAAGCAGTGAAAATGTTCTTAATGATAAACTTATATTGATTTTTTTTAAGGTTAGAGTTTTATTATGTGGCTAAAATATGTTTTTCAGCTGTACTGAGCAGTGCGTTGTTCTGCTTCTTTACTGGCCGGGACTCAGCTTCTACAAACTGGTGACACGCTGACCTCTGTCTACTGGACACTGATTATGGATGAGTACCTCACACAGCCCTGGTTTAAAAAAACCCAAACTATCCCTTTAATGTTGTTTTATCAGCTTGATGTTTCATGGCTTTTCCTGCTTTTATGAGAATTGCTTATAAACATGATTTGGACGTGATGACCTGTTATAGAAGTCTGCTACAGGAGATGATGCATTACTTCTGTTTGGGCTCTCAGAGACCACAGCTGTTGGATTTGATGCACCTTCTTTATATTTGTGATTGCTGTTGACTGACCTCCATAATTCTAAATAAGTCTATTTAGATTTCCATTATTGGAGTTTGACAACAATTTATTAGTCTATCAGGACCCTTTATAGGCTCTAATTGACCCCAAACATCAGTATGTTCTCTATTTATGTTTATATCTATTTAAGTTATTTAAGCAAAATCACCAAAATTGACTGGTTACAGCTTCTAAAATGTAAATATTTGCTGGTTTTCTTAGACCACTATAATTGTAAATGGACTATCTTTGGTTTTTGACTGTTGGTCAGACAAAGTAAGCGATTTAATAAAGTCAACCTGGGTTTTGGGAAATGACTGGCCTTTTTTTACATTCTATAGACTAATTGATTAATCAATTAATTGATAATTAATATTTGCTAGCTGCAACCCTAAAAGAAAGGGACTTATATTTGCTCATCTATAGCCCATAACATATAAAATGGTTATTTCTGTATTTTTTTACCTTCCTTAAATGTGTCTTTTATTTCTGGCAAAGGGAAAGATTTACCATTTCAACAAGGTTACTTTTCTACATTTTGGGTTAGTAAAAAAGACGAGATGGATGAATAAAATGGAAACAAAATTCCAATTATTATTACTTTTACGACTTTTACACTTACAGGAGTCCAATATGTCTGCAATTCTCGTTCTGATCTATCAACCGTATACTTGTCAAGGTCTGAGGAGAAAAGCCTCAAGTGTAGTGTTGTGTAGTTAAAAGATTTTTTTATTAGCTCGGCATCCTGTCAGTTTACAGCATCACCTCTCTCCTCTCAGTCTCAGATGGAGTGACGGTTGTACTCTTGGGGGGGATGCATGCCGTCATAGTGGAACTCCCTCCACTGCTCGGTGCTCTCTCTGGTCCTCTCGTCTTGTTCTGGGAGATCATGAGAATTTTAGTGGATGAATGAGCCGGTCGAGTGAATGAACTCATCCCCCTCAGCTTCATCATATATCAGGGTTTTCATACCATCGTGCTCCTCTTCAGCATAGCTCTCAAACTCGTTCCTCTTCTCCTCATGAAACTCTCTCTTTCGTTCATCTGCTGCCAGAATCTGCCTCTGCTCAGCTGCAAGCACAGAGGAGGATGAGGATGAATCAGCTGAGTGATAAAGATAATTGATTCAGGAGTTTGTTGTCATATTAACCAGCTGCTGACACGTCAGTAATACAATGGTTTTTTGATTCCGGCCTTCTTTCCAAACTGTTCCCATTTACAATAATCTGCATACATTTTTCACCATTAAATTGAAATGAATAATGAACACAAACATGAAACATTTTGAAAAGATGAATACGTGAAATCAAAACAACACTTAACTTGATATATATAATTAACAAAAAGTTAAACAATATGCAGTTCAGTATTTAGAGAACTACATCAGACTTGCTCATTTTGCTTTTGTGCAATAGTGCAACTGTTTTTTGGGCTCTGGATCTCTTGTGGTTTTCTACAAATCATCACTGACTTATACTCAAACACAAGAAAACTGGTTTTCGATCTAAACACCCTTTGGGTAAAAGTCGTACTGTGATTAAATTTGTCCTTATTGATTCATTAATTACCAATATTAATTAAATTAAATTCCGTTCAATTTTATTTGTATAGCCCCAATTCATAGCAGAAGTTATCTCAGGACACTTTTCAAATAGAGCAGGTCTAAACCGTACTACTTAAAATCCAATGTTAACAGTATCGCCTTGGATTTACCTGATAGATTACTTTATTTCAAAAACATGATAGAAAAGCTACAAAGAATTATGCTGATATAATATTTACAATAAATATACCATTGAATAATATTAGATTTATACTGACTACAGTTTATAATTAGAAAAGGTTGTATGGTAATATAAGATTTTTGTAATACTACCTTTTCCATGAATGAACATCTCTGCTGAACAAGCAGGTTGAGCAGGTTTTTAGAAAACAATACTTGGGCTTACCTCTGAAACTAAGCTAAAAAATTTGAAAAATTGTGGCCATGAGAAGGCCATGTGCCAAAAGTGATTTATCTGCTGCTAACTTCCTGGATGTGAACCACCTGAAAACCGCAGTGCATCCTGGGGATTTCTAGTGGTTAACATACTTCAGTTGACTCAATGAGGTGGAGTTAGGTACAACAATATATCACAACTCCTAATATACTCTACCAAACAGAGAAGACCTGGCATGTAGAAGAGTCTGGAAATAAACAACAACTAAAAGGAACCACAGTTTCAATTCAAAGCTCACCTTCAAGTATACACACAGACACACACATACACACAAACTCAATACAACATCATAAAACTACAACCTCCAAAAAATACCACAGAGCTGAATCACCGTGTCTGAACAAAAGCTGCTTTTTGTGACCTTCTTAAAGCTGGTGAAGCTGTGATTCACAGAAGCTGCTTGTATCCACACAAACACAAACACTGGACCCCCAAGTGATGGAAAGAAGTATAATGAGTCATGTCTCACTGTTGTTACTAGGTCCAGAAAGATATATGTGGGTAGAAAGCCAACATGTACAATGTTGGGTGAGTTACTGGTTGCTATATTGTTCTTCCTGTCTCTGAAGAGATCCTTTCTTAATGCATGGAGGACAACATCCACAGCCCTCGGCCTATCCAGAATACATCCTGAAATTCAGCAGAAGTTAATACTGGACTTCAGCAGTCTGAGTTAGACACATCCCCTTACCCTTTAATATAGGGAGCGGTTCTGGTAGCTGGTTCCAAGTTGGTACCGATAAACCCCCTTTCCACCAACCCGGACCCAGTGCTAGTTCTGGGCTGGTGTTAGTGGTGGTTATACGTATCACTGTATACGTCTCCAAGGTTGGGCTAGTGGGCTAGATAGGTAGCTTTTGGTCAACTAACATTACCCAAGCCAGCATTGATTTCTAAGTTCAGTGTTACTAACCTCGAAAGTAATAGTAAAGTTGCAGACTACTAATCAATCAACCCTGGATTGTTGGGGGTACAAAGCTGTAATCTCTCATCTTGGGGTGGCGATGTAGGCTTCAACACCTGTAGTTTGATGCTGCCATTTAAGTCAGTAAACAGCAGACAACACCTCAATGCAGTGTATCTCATGTATGAATTTTTATTTAACTTTAACTCTGTTTATTGTTTCTTATTTCATCAAATTATTTATGTAATTGAGTCATCTTTACCATCACCCTGTTTTCTGTCAGTTACCGTCTTGTGTAGTCATGGAAACATTGGAAAACAGTAAAACTTCAGTCATAAAAACAACAACAACAAATATTGATGGGAGAAACTTTTTGCTTGCTAGCTCGCTATCCAGCTAGCTCAGTGTTACAATTATAAACTTTATATGCTAAACAGCTAATAAATACATAGCTGGCTGGTCACAAGACACCCTCAGACCCTGTTGTACGTTCAAAGTGTTGGTACCTCACTGAAACCAGTTTTCCTAAACCAAGGCTCAGTTCTTTGGTTGTCAAAACGCAAAAAACTGGTTCGAGAATGGGCACCTGTGAGGCCAAGGATTTTAGGCATCCTGCATGTGACCTCTGACCAGCAAGACTGGACATTTGAAGAAGACCAGAACACATTAAAGTACTCGTCTATCATGTGTGGGCAAGTTAGAGCCAGTGAAACTGTGATACTCGGACCGCAGTAACATTAGAAAGAGCCATTAGCTGAGATAGGAAAGGTTTGGGATAGCCGTGCTAACCTTTCCAAAGGCAGGTCACAACCTTTGACCTTTTACCAGGATTCCCAGCACAAGTCTGAGCATGCTGAAGAGCTGGAGCTCAAGTCACTTAGCTTTAAACGACAAGGTTTCATGTTTAGAAGATTTACACATGAAAACATGTAATATACTAAGGGAGTACTGAGGGCAACTACCTGCTATTTTTAGTTTGTTATCCCTTTCTAACATTGCACAGCAGGGTTAATCATCAACCAAACACCACACCGCAGCAGACACACTGCTTCTTATGGCTCACCAACTCCCACAAAAATACCCCAAACAGCGGCATTCATTTACTGTGAAATATCTACATGCTCGAAATTTAGTACATCACCTCTTCCACCTACTCAAACAACTAATACATGTATCAAATATTTTCTTTTGCAGATTCCATGCACCTGAGAGCGAGATGTTGTGCTTTTATGTCATTATACAGCAGGAGAGGCTCTTCAAAGTGAGCACAATTTGTTTGTCTCGCTTTTTTTTTACTTGGTTTTTCTCTGACCCCTTTCTGCCTGTGTGTCGGCACATTCCACATTCAACTCCCAACAGCTCACCCACTCACTCACTCGTCCATCTCTGTCTTTTTACTGTGTTTTACTGCTTTGTGTTCACTTTATCTCAGCTTTAGCTGCACAAAGTGTCTTCTTGTTGTTACACACACACACACACACACACACACACACACACACACACACACACACACACACACACACACACACACACACACACACACACAAACCCACAGCATGTTACACAACTCCAATTCAGAGCAGCAGTCTCAGTGTGTGCTCTCACCTTCCTGTTGGCAGAGCTGTGCATAACAGTGTTGTTAAATCACTTGAGAATGTCAAACATTGTACAGTATGTGAATTTTCACAACACTTGTGAGGAAAATAATCACTGATATATACTCTCAGGTGAGTCTGTGTGTGTGTGTGTGTGTGTGTGTGTGTGTGTGTGTGTGTGTGTGTGTGTGTGCGTGTGTGTGTGTGTGTGTGAGAAAGAGAGAGAGAGAGAGAGAGAGAGAGAGAGAGAGAGAGAGTGTGTGTGTGTGTGTGTGTGTGTGTGTGTGTGTGTGTGTGTGTGTGTGTGTGTGTGGGTGTGTGTGTGTGTGTGCTCCATGCTGCCCTGTGACTCCTGCTGCAGCCTCCAGCAGGGGAAGCAGAGCTGCTGTGTGACCAGACAGGTCTGGGTCTGGTCTCTCTGGTCAGGACAGGTTCAAAAAACAGTTAACAGCTGCTGGCTGCCACAGTCATAAAAATATTCAAGCTGTCTGTAAGATGTTTGCTCACTGTTTCATTCAAACTGCAAAACTGAACAATTTCAGATGTTTCCATTATAATAGAGTGTCTCTCTATGCTCAGAATGGAGACAAAAACCGGTCTTATATCTTATTTCATACAGAATGTAGATGCTTAAAGTTGCTTTAAGTTTCAATGCTTTGTTTTGTCGATGTTTAGCATCTGTAAATGTTTCATTCAGATCACTTTTCTAGAATCAAATGTCATGTTATTGATACTGGTGCAGCAGTCTGCCGTATCATGTCTTTCTTGGAGAGAATTACACATATTTCTAGGAAATTCATGTACGTATGTTCAAGTATGTAAACCTTCGCTGGATTTCTCTCAGCTCCTCAGCAGATTTGTTTTCATGTTTTAAGACTTAACAACTGCATAACAAGCCCACCATAAAAGTTTAAAGACAAGTGTACATTTAAAACCTGTGTCACTTATACTCATTTTTTAAATAATAATAACAAATCACTAATAATAAAATGTGAACCACTGACAACAATGTACAGGATTTTTTTGTTTTTTGAAAATAAAAATAAATGTTTTTTAAAGACAAAATGGTTCCGTAATGAATCATTAATTATTATAGTTTTGTACTTTTTTTTTTGTACTTTTTCATTTTTGTTTTCAATTCAGTTTAATTTCCAGAGTAGGTTTGCTTGTTTCAGTTGAGTTTTTATTGTTTGTTGTTGTGTAAAATGTTATTTGTCAGGGGCAAGATGTAAGAAGTTCAGAACAGGTATTACACTACAAATACATTGACTCACACTCATGTCGACATCCCAGCCTCAATAAACATATGCACCAATCCCTCCTCATGCTTGTTGACAGATTTGATCACATTGACAAAAACTAAATTAAAAACATTTCCTGTATATTTTTATTTTGTTGTAGTAAGTTTTGTAAGTACACAATATAATTTCAGTTCATTTCAATTTCAGTTTATTCTAGTCTAACTAACTCTAGTCTCTCTAACGAAAATGTTTTTTTCACACCTAGTTTTAGTTTTTAGTTTGGTTAACTATAATAACCTTGGTTTGGATGCAACATAATGCCTTCCATTGTGGTATAACAATAAACAAATTAGTGTGAGAGTACCTCTGCTGCCAAAATGTTCTAATAAGACACAGATGCCAACAATTACCACAGACACACAACCACCTTGGCTGACCAGACCTCAGCTCAAACAAACCCCAAATGAACTCACCGTTAATCTCATCTTGAGACTTCACCCCCCGTCTGCTGCGTCTTCTGAAGAAGTTTGAGGCATCGGCCTCCTTCATGAAGATCTTCTTCAGCGGACCTGCAGTGGAAGCAGGAGGAATTTCAGCTCACAACATAAAGGGATAAAGAGAGAGGATGTGGAAGAGATGCAACTGACGCAGCTCCTCACCTTGTGGGTCTTTAGCGCTGCCTGTGCTGCTGGGCACAGCTGCCGAGTCAGCCTCTGGAGACACTGGGTCAGAGGACAAAACATGAAGGCTCTAAATTAGAACACAAAATCTAGGCTTGCATGCTTACCGCTCCATAAAATACAAAGAAAACAAACTGCTATCATCAGTCTGTACCCTCCACAGATATCCCAATATAAATTCTCCTGCATCAGACTCACAGGAAAGTGCAAGAAGCACACCCAGGAGAGCCAGGAGGGTTGCATACGTCCAGGACATCTTTATCTCTGTGTCTGGGTCGTTGAGGGACACGAGTAGTGAGGCAGACCAAGAGGGAGAGGTGAGTAAGACGTATGTAAGACGTGGGGTGGGAATCTGGAGGAATATTGACTGCTTGTCAGAGGAGAGGGAGGGAGTGAGCGTGCAGATCTGATAAGAGGCTGTATCCAACAAACAGCAGAGCGGGTGACAGGAAGGTGCTGAGGATTTAATTTAGACGTGATCGAATTACTTATTTTTCAGTAATTAAACTTCAATTAGTATAATGGGCCTGTGAGGGCCTATTCCTTTAGTCACAGAATGACAACTTACAGGGTTCACCATAGAAATCACACTACAGGCTGAATATGCACCACTTGGCTTGTTAATACCTACACTTGCAAGAGAAAAGATGGATGACTGACAACAAAAACACTGACGTTCCTGGAAAAAAGTGACAGAAAACAACCGAGGCCCAGAGCTGGAGAAGGTTTTTTTCTTGCCAAATGTCTCCTTTGCAGATGCAGTTGAATGAGGCCCCTTAACAAGGCTGCACTCTCTCTGCTTCTGCATAAAGTCGTGCCGGAAAGTACGCACCCTTCTGTTTGCTATAGTTTTTTTTCCCACCTGAATTCTGGCCGTGCCCCAGAAAAGACTGAATGTTTAAATTGTTTTGTGGGGCAATCCGAGGTGGAGGGATTGTTGCTCAGGGAAGTGAGAGGAAATTAGAGGGAGGGTTTCAGAATATGTGGAGTAAGTTTGCTCAGGTAAGTATGTGAGAGGAGGAAAATTTAATTTGCACCAAGTGAATATGATACTTATTAATGACATTAACTCGTCTGAGTTTTGAATTCATGGTGAGATACTGCACTGAATATACACTGTACAGTAGTGCCTTTTAATATATTGCACATTAGTGGTGCAAGTCAGTAGATGAGACAATGTTAAATGCTGAACAATAAGTGGAAGAAGTACCTACTTAACTGTACATAGAATATATTCATGCTCACAGTTAGAAGTAGATAACAGTATAGCTCATATACTATACCTGTACGCATATACAGAAGTATAAAGAGGGATAAAATGGAGATACTCAAGAAGCATAGAGAACAAATAGCTCAAACTTGTACTAATGTGTGGAGGAAGATTTAAGAACATTCTCTATTTACTGCAAGACACAAGATGGTTTCATTATCAATTCATCTGTGGATTGTTAGTTTTTTGGTCCATAAAATGACAGAAAATAGGGAAAAATGTTGATCTCTGTTTTCCAAAGCCCAAGGTAATGTCCTCAAATGTCTTTTTTTGTCCAGAATCCAAAGATATTCAGTTTATTGTCATATGTAGGACTAAAGAAACCAGAAAATATTCACATTTGAGAAGCTGAAATCAGATAATCTTTCCTTCAAAAATGACTCAAAATGATTAATTGATTTGCAAAATAGTGGCAGATCAATTTGATAGTTGACAACTAATCGATTAATTGACTAATTCTTGCAGCTCTAGTATGATTGTGGTTAAACTAACCAAGTTGTGTAGGTAATGTAGCAAATTCAAAAAATACTCTAAATGTGCATCTTGCTTGGACATGTTTAGTTTATTCTTCACATATCACTTTTATCTGAACACTTGACTTGGTTTCCTGTCCTGGCAAAGATTTGTTTTTATACATAAACAGAGAGGGCAGGGGGAGATGTTCCAGGCGTATCTTAGTTTTTCACATTTCTTTAATCATCAGAAAATCTATTTTACATTTAGTTTCAAACTAATGAATGGTTCCTGTTTTTTTTTCTTTCTGTGTCTGTCAAAATATACAGATCTTTAAAAATCAAAAAGGAAGAATTTTATCAACTTTCCTCAAAATCTGTTGCGCAAAATCCCAAAATAGAAGCAAATAAGATGCAAATTCACAAATGGCAGTCTGACACATAAATATAAACCTAACAGCAGTGGTGAAAAAAATATTCAAAGTATTTTATCAGCAAAAGTATCAAAAGTAAAAGTATCTTGTTCTGCAGAAAAATGGTCTCAGTCAGTGTTTTGCATTAATATTACTGCTTCATTAATGTGTATGTTGCATTTTACTGCTGTGGATGTTTAAGGTTGAGTTCACAGCAGTGTAATCATATTACACAGCTTTGTTTTCAGCTTTGTGACAATGCATTTTTCTGCTAATCCAAGAGGGTTTTTAAATAGTTTATTAATTTTAAGAAGTATGAGAATTTTCTAAACTCATAAAGGAACACTTAATCATTCAGTTTATCAGGGGGAAAAAAATCTAATTTAAAATCCCCAAATTTGGAGATACATGGTTTTCACAGGAAAGAAAGTATAACTATAGCTCAGACAAATGTGGGGGAGGAAAATCTGAGATAATTATCATGGATGATAAATGATCCCAAGATAATGAGAAATTTATATTATTATAAATTATCCTGATAATTAAATAAAAATGATAAATGATTGGTACATTTTAAATTCTTATGCAAAACCAGAAGCTGTATGCTCTGTGAAAGAAGAAGAAAAAGTTAGTTTGTTTGAGTTTTTTTATGTACTTTACTAGAACAAATCAAATAAATGAATATTTAAGAACTGTTGTTTGTTTTTTGTTGTATTGTGACGTAAGTTAGACTTAGGTCAGAGCTATGGGATATTAAATCATCCATCTTTGCTCACTACATCTTAGCCTTTGTGTAAAAAATACAGGTTATAGACTCCTTTTTAAAATATGAAAATGTTCAATTTTGTTATTGGTATCAGCCATGAGCAGCAGGTAATTATTGGCTATCATATGCTGGAAAAAAATCCCATATTAAAGACTACAGTGGACAGTCAGGACTGCAGAGAGGATCATTGGTGCCAACCTGCCCTCCATTCAGGACCTTTACCTGTCCAGAATCAGGAAGCGGACAGGTAACATCACTGCAGATCCCCCTCTGGTAGGCGCTACAAAGAGACACAGGAATAGTTTCTACCCACAGGCCATCAACCAACAGTTAACTGCCCTGCACAATAACCCTAGGACTATCAATGAAACCATTCATTACTTCTTTTCCATTGCTGAAAATTCAGTTTATTTACATACTGTATATACTCATATCCACCTACCCCATGTACATAAAGACACCTGCACGTAAAATATTTATTTCAGCATCCTTTGCACTATTGTCTACTGTCTACAAATATTTGTTTATAGATATGTATAACACATATAAGTCTATGTGTTGAACTTGTTCTGTTTATTTATATTGTTAATCTGTGTTTGTACATTGAGAGCAACGTAAAACCGGAGTCAAATTCCTTATATGTGCACACATACCTGGCCAATAAAAGTGAAAAAAATATTCGCCTCTGAGCTGTAGTGGATTAAAAATATAAAGTTGAACTAAACCTCGAATTTGTAGTTGAGTAAATGTACTTAATTACATTTCACCTAACCTGACCTTTAATTAAAGACTGAAGTGTGATATATATCCATATATGTATATATATGTAGCACTACCGCATTTCCTCCACTAGGGGCCGCTGTGAGGCCGCACTGGCAGCCCCCTCTGTCTCCCGCAGCACCGACCGTTAGGTGGCGCTGTTTCTCCCTCCACTCCCCTCCCTCCCGCAACGTTTTGATGACACGGCTGTGCGGTGGCAGCAGGCAGCGTCAGCAGGCAGAGGACACACTCAGATCAACCAGTAATCACCATCGTCTCTCTCACACTGCCATGGTTCTCTCCGACCGAAACAAGACCAAAAAAAGAAAAGAGAAACACACCAGCGGCTCTTGCTATCTCTTCCCCCTCTCCCCGGGAGTGAAACTTTAAAGCCGCGAGGAGCCGCCGCCATGCTGCTGGATGCCGTATAAGCGACATTGAAGACCAGAAAGTAGAAAGCCTACCACCACACGGAAACCACAAAGAAGAAGCAGTTTTTTTTTTTTTTTTGTTGTTGTTTTTTTCACGCTCGGAGGGAAAGACGGCATCCGGCCTGAGAAGAAGCTCCGAGGTCGGGGACTCCGGTCGGAGCAACGCTCATCGTTTCTGGTGAGAGTCCTCCTACATTTATTTATTTTGTAGCGTAGCTTTCTGTGAATGTTTGAGCTGTTTAACACCGGTTGTAGCCTCGCTGACACAAGAAACATTACAACATCCTGGGTTGACAATAAACGGAGCTTAAACAATGTTTACTTCTCAGCCCCCCCACTAACCAACCAACAAACAAACAAACGACCCCTCAGTCTGTGTGAATGCAGCCGCTGTGTCCCATTCACCGGTACATGGTCAGAGTGGTTAATGCTTTATCGTGCCTCCCCCTCCTCCCCTCCTTCATGGTTGTACATTTGTTGATAAATAGCACAGAGCAACACAAACAGTCTGGTCTGGTTGGTTTGTCACTAAACTTGCATGAGGAGGTGGCTCTGCGTGTATCTTCTTGCATAGTTGCAAACAAAACATTCCCTGACCCACATTTTTTTTTTAGAGGTGTCCTGTCTCTCTGGTGCAACACATCTTCTTTTTTCTTCTTCTTTCTGAAACTACCTTAAGCCCACTAACCTGTACCAGCCTCTGAACTCACACACAGTCCAGTTTTAAAAGCTTTAAGCCGTTTCAGCTGTTGTAGGGAGGCCAGGACAGGAGTCTGCTGCATGGTGGTGGGGTGGAGGGGGGAAACAGCTTGGAGAAACACTCCTGCAGTTTCTAGGAATCTCACCCCAAGAGGGCAGCTTTTACTGAATTCCTGTACTTATGTCTTCTTCCTATAGGGAGGTAACCTGTGTGTGTGTGTGTGTGTGTGTGTGTGTGTGTGTGTGTGTGTGTGTGTGTGTGTGAAGTTAGCAGGATGTTCAAAAAGGAAGACATCATTGTTCTGGAGGGGGGCAGGGATGCTCATGGCAAACTGCTGAGGAAGTTCATTTTGGTGTAAAGACACCCAGGAGCCCATGTTGGTTACATATTTATTGCCACATTTATTGTTTGTGTGCTTTGTAAAGCCTTATTCAAAATCTACTGACACTAGGCATGTTTGATGAAGGTGTGTAAAATAACATAAAACAAACAAACTCGGGTTCAGATAAGTTCAAATATGCACCTCTGTTATGTTTTCATATGTATAAAACAGAAACTTTAATCATTTCTTTTGATAGTTTTTTATTATAGTTTGCAACAACAAAAAAATAAGAGTCTCCAACAATAACTTTAACTAATGATTATTTTCAGTGATCAATTAATCAGCCAATTATTTTCTGTTAAATGTCTAAAAATACAGAAAAATGTCCATCAGAATAACCTAAAGCTCATCTTACATTGTCTTGTTTTTGTCCAAAATATTCAGTTTTCTGTCACTAAGGACTAAGAAAACCTCCAAATTTTCACATTTGAGAAGTTGGAAGTTCTTGCTGTTGTACGAAACCCATTCCCACTGTCACTGTTTTGCTAAAGGCTGATTGAAAGAGCTGCTGTAGCACTTTATCTCATTTCCTGCGAGCAGGTTTCAATTTGACAGCCACGAGCTGTTGAGCTTCCTTGCAAGATGTTGTGCATCATCCAGGAGCTCCGCGGAGGTGCGTCGGTTTGGGGCTGAAAGTATCTGGTGTGGAGGCTGGTACCTGCAGGAGGGTAGGGAGCTGTTTGGGTACTGTGTGCCCGGTGCCCGTGTGTGTTGGTTTTGACGTGGGGTCGTTCCCTTGGAGAAGGCCTTGGGGATGGCGGTGGCAGGGTAACCTGACCCGCTGTGAAACAGCTGTAGCCACGCAGTGCTGATCCCTGGAGTCCCAGTGCAGATCAGATGATGGTCCAGTATGTGTAGGGGTGTGTGTGCGCGTGTGTGTGTGTGTGAGCATACACGTTAATGGATGTGTTTTCACCAGAAGTTAATTCTCTGCTTTTAAATACACAGAATCACCAAACTTCATTGACTTTATGGATGGTTTTAATTCATTCTCTTAAGGTTTTGCTAATACAAGTGTGTTCTCTCTAAGTGTGTGAGCTCATGTTTAAGCGGCACACCAAGACAGCTGGCTGAAGGTTAATGTGTCACCGCTCCCCGGGGAGCAGCTGCTATGTCACAGGCACCACTCCTATCTATAGATAGCCATGAATACAAACTCTTCCTCTTTTCTCTGCTGCATTAACACAAGAACTCTGGCAACGGCATGCAGCTCAGGCCTCTCGCATCCAGTTGCCCCGCACGACAAATGCTGCTGCTTGCGAGTTTGTCCGCCCCCCTCCTTGACTCCCCGATTCTCTATCTCGGTCTGAATCTGGAAGTATCTGGTGGTAGTAAAGACCCTGCTGCAGCCGCTGAGCCAGCTGGCCGAGAACCTGTTTGATTGAGTTATACAGTAATAACTTCGACCATATATCTGGGTCGTCATCTCATCTGCAGTATTAATGTCTGAAACAGGTGAGGGACAAATATTGCTCTTTTTCCCATCACTCTTGGCAGGATTTGCAGGAGCTGTCTGAACACTTGTCTGGTCTTTATTTGGAAGCAAACACACACACACACACACACACACACACACACACACACACACACACACACACCTTCATCCTAACCAGTGTTAGTACAGCCAGCATAGCTTCGCATATTTGAGATGTGCTGTGGTGTTCATAATTAAGCTCTCACTGGTTTAATAAAACACCATGTTAAATCCGTGTGTTGGGTTTTTTAATTAGCTGAATTTAGAAACCCCCAGGCTCCCTCAACCTTGGCTCAGTAGGTTTTTCTAATCAGGGATTGAAAAAGTAGACCACTTTTCAGCGGCTAAAAATACTTTTCGGGTTCCTTATAATGACATGATCAATTTTCCATTTGATTCAAAGCTGTGTGTAGGAATGGAAAAATGTTTTCCCACAACCATTTCTTTTTATTCAAATGCGTACATTCATAAAAGATTAGTTTACAAACATTTCCTGGTCTTTTTGACACCTTGGAATAATAAAATAATAGAAAAACAAATCTTTTAATCAAGAAAGAAATCGACAGATTACTTGATTATTGCTAGTTGCAGCCCTATAAATGATTATTGAAAAACAATCTTGTGTTTCATGTAGGTCTAACAGAAAAAAAAAAGTCAGTTACAAAGATACCGCCTTAACTTTCTGCAGGGTTTGCTGTCACACAAGTGTACCCAGCATGCGGTCTGCCTGAAATTACTACAAAGGCTGCTGAGAGCTGTTTGTGTTTGCAGTTTGATATGAGAACTGATATCCTGATAACCCTGTCCTGCTGTCTGCCCTCAGTTAGATAGCAGTGTGGCCTGTAGTTCCCTTTTAACAGCCATGAAAGTCTATCAGGACCTGCTGGTGCGACGATGAGTGCAGACGGGCGGGGAGGGGAAGGCTAATTGTCGCTCTCTCTGATGCTAATGTCCTGCTCATAGACGGACGCCAGGTGACTTGACTCAGGCTCAGTTCCAGACCACGCCTGGGCGATTATCTCCCTAATGAGCCAAGCCGAGTCTGTGATAATCATGCTGCCTTTTATCTAGAATAAATGAAGGCTATCAGCATATCTAAAAATTTATATATGGGGAGAAATAAATCTTGTAGCTGTAAAATGTTTGATTTTTATTTTATCTTTAAGAAACATAGATGGGTTTTATTTAAAAAAGAAAAAAAGTATTACTTTGGAGTGACACTAGTCTGCTGCCTTTCTGATCATATCAGGATCTGTTGATCTGAGTGCCCTGTTCTGAACCCAGCTGGGTCCACAAGGCTTATCACTCACAATTCATGCTGGTCTTTCATCCCATTCATAAACTGTGTTATCACATGAAGTGTAAGTGTTGCCTTTAGATGTGTCCTTTTCATTTAAATGGTGTGTTTAATTTCAAAGTCATTGTTTAACTATTTATGACATATCTAACTTCATTTTGTGTTTTGATTGTTTTACTTTAATTTAATTCTGGATATACTTGTATGTTTAAGGCATATCTCAGAACGGGGCCACATATGTGAGCGTACATTTATCTAGAAAATTGATGGCGCTTGTAAAAGTGAGTATGAGTTCTGTGACAAATGCTGTCCGTGTAACTACACTATAGGGTCAGTAAGTCATTGATCGACGCCAAATATCCTCTCATTTCTGTTTTAGACTGCAGGGTTTCCTCCAGACTAAAACTAAGACTAATAGTTGACTGGTTTAGTCGACTATTAGGGGACAGACCTAATCAATTATCACTTCCCAACTACTTGATAATCAATGTTGCAGCACAGTATTTTTCCGTGTTCCTTCCATTCTTTTGATGGAACGATAAATTAGTTAATTAATCAAAAGATCAATTGATGGTGAATATACGATGCCCTAGATTTTTGAATCCAGTCTTCACAGCACAGGTTATGAACTGGCAAGCATAGTAACACCCGTTCTTGCTGGTGTCTACAAAACCATACCGTAGCTCAGTATGCTATTAAAGGGCAGCTACAAACTTCCAGTATTGAACTTGGTCATCTGCTGTCCTGCTGCAGACGGCGTTGGGCCATAGAGAAAGCTTAGAGGAGAGCAGGCCTGTCACTCAAGCCACAGTAACCATAGCAGCAGTGTTAATCAGCTAGTGTTGAATCTTATTGCCTGTGAGATCTGTGGCTGTGCGTCACTGGTCTGGCCTGGCCTCCGTCGACCACAGTCCCTGGCTGACATGTCTGTGTTGTATTTCCCACACACACACACACACACACACACACACACACGCACGCACTGCTGACCTGTCTGTTAGCACCACTCAGCCCTGCAGGCACAGGTGAAACATGTGACAAGTGGGAAAGCAGGGTGAGGAAAGAGTGTGTGTCAGTGAGGATGGAAAAGAGCAAAGAAAAGAGGCAAATATCATTAAAGTTTTTGTGTACATGGCTTTGGTTCAGTTAAACCGATTTCGCTGTTGAAGTAATGCCTCACCTGCTGCAGTGTGTGTGTGCAGCATGCCTGCCTGGTTGTCATGCTCAGCTCAGCACCACGCAGCACACCACCACCTCCTGTGTCTCCTGTAAAAAGCCTACTTTCTTTTACTGTGCACAATGCAGCCTTTATATAAGGACCCCAT